CCCAGGAGTTCGAGGCTACAGTGAGCTAGGATCATGCCACTGCACTCTAGCTTGGGTGACAGAGCGTGGCACTGTCTCGAAAATATAAACATTAAAAAAAAAATTTGAAAAGGAATGGTCAATACTGGCAAGGGGCCAGGAAGGGGTCTCACCTGAGGGAAGTCAGTCTGCAACCCAAGAAGAAGGGGCCCAGGCTACTCCTCTGGAACAAGGGTCCGAGCTGGGGAGGAAGGAGGAGGAGGGTGAGCAGAGAAACCAGGGTCAGGGGTAGAACTGATCCTACAGGAGCAGCTGGGGTCCGAGTCTCACCAGTCTCTGCAGGGCTCTCTCGGTAGAGTTGAATGTGGCTGAGCTGGTGCCCATGTCTGGTGAATAGTGGAGGTTGGAGATGGTAAAGTTGAGTGTGAGCATCTTCAGGTGGTGGCCCCAGTCTGCAGGAAGGCAGGGGGATAGACATCTACAACTGAGAGCTGGCCTGAGACCAGATTGGAGCCCTGCACTCACTGTGATCTGTCATCTTCTCTCCCAGCAGTGCCACCACCAGCCAATGTGGCCATACAAGTCAGAACTTGCATATCTCCTCACCTCCAAGGAACGTGAGTTACCTTCCCTGAATGTTCCTTCCCTTCTTGACTTGGCATTCAAGGTCTTCTCCAGTCTGGTGCCTGGTGACCTTTCAGGCTCATTTATTCATCTACTCTGGGTTGAGCTTTATGTTTCATGCAACCAAATTCCTCTCTCCCCATCCCCATCACAACTCAGCTCTTATCTTCTCTCACCCAGATTAGCACTCCAGAAGACCTACTGGACGCCCTGCCTAAAGGAGATTCTCTACATTGAGCACTAAAATAATCTTTTTGATATGAAATCTTACTGAGGGCTGCTGACATTGCTCGAGTGCCCCTCATGGCGCCCTATGGCTTCCAATGTTAAGTTCAAGCTTCTTGACTTGGCATTCAAGGTCTTCTCCAATCTGGTGCCTGCTGATCTCTCAGTCTCATTTATTCATCCACTCTGGGTTAAACTTTATGCGTCATGCAACCAAATTCCTCTCAATTCTCCCCATACAATATGTTCTCTGTTTCTGGCCACTGACCTTCTGTGCATGGAATCCTCTCCGCCCTATTTGCCTGGATCATTCTTACTTATTCTTAAAGACTCGGTTCAGATGAAACTTTTGCCAGAAAGCCCTCCTCCCTCCAAATTATTCCAGCTGTCTCTTCCCAAAACATCCACTCTGTGTTATAGGATCTGTTTATCTCTGTGTTTATCTCCATGAAGGCAGGCATCCGAATGAATTGCTAGTGTAATCTTTGTGATCAGAACAATCACGCTAAATCTTCACGCCCCAGCCACTATGTGACAGTCAGCTGGTGCGGGGATGAGGAGTTTTTCTTGGGGAGGAAAAAGGGCCCTGGGTACCTGTGGTGGCTTCTGGCTGCACAGGTGTTGATGACAGAGGCAGAAAGGTTGTGACTTGCTCAGGAGCTGTGGAAAGGGTAGTCATCAGAGACGGATAGAGCCCCCCACATAGTGAGAGAAGCTCTCCCAGGCTCAGTTGGGCTCAACAGTGGTCCCAGCCAGGACAAGTATTCACTGCTGGGCCATGAATGAAGTGAGAGAAAGAGTTATTGTGTGAGTAAGGGGTGGTGAGCAAGCCTGTGGATGAAATTAACCCGAACGAGTGAGAGGTGGGTTAACCAGTTGGATGGATGGGGAGAAGAATGGGAGGGATAAATGGATGGACAGAAGGAAGGATGGAGCAATGGAGGTCTGAAGACAAGACAAGAAGGATATGAAGAGAAGTTAGAGATGGAAGAACAGATGGATGGAAGGACAGAAGGAAGGACAGTCATGTGAATGGACAGATGGATTGATGGATGAATTGACAGAATGAAGAAAGGATAGATGGATGGATGGATGGATGGATGCACGAATGAATGGATGGATGGATGGATGGTTGGATGGGAGAATAAACATGAGTGAACGAGTGGTTGGATAGATGGATGGACGAATAAATGGATGGATGGAAGGAGAGAAGGAAGAAGGATAAACAGGTGAATGGGCAGGAAAATTGGTGAACAGATGATGGATGGAAGGATAGTGTCTGAGAGGAGGAATGACTGGAAGACTAGAAGAAAGGATAGCTGGAAATATAGATGAGTAGGCCACTGGATTAAAGAACAGGCAAATCTGGCCCAAATCACTTGAGTAGCTGCCAGAATTTGCAGCTTGACGATAAATTCCCGGCTGGGATCTCTATAGGAGATTTTATCAGGAGGCATGGACTACGCGGACATCATCTGACCTCAATCCTTATCTCTGTAAGGGATGCTTGTTCAAACTTCTTCCTCTATCCCAGAGGGGCGTGGAACATTCAGAAAGCCAATACCATGGTTAAAGTTCAAGGACTCAACATTCTTTCTCCCGCTGAGACATTGCCCCCCACTCAGGAGACCGGCCTGAGTCTGAGTCAAGTTCCCTTTAGGAATGAGGAGAACAGCTTGGCCCAAGACCCACAGAGGCTGAAATGGATGCTGGATTCAAAGACACGTACTTGTAGGAGGCTCATCTGGACCACGTTCATTATAACCTGTAAACAAAGAAGTCACATGTAAGGGGAGGTGGCAGAACAGACCCAGATATTCCCTGCTTTTGCAGGGACCCCAGGATGCTTTTCTCTCTGTGAATCTAGTAAGCATTTATGCATGGTCCCAGATCTGACTTAAACATCATTGCCACTAAGAAGAATTTCCTGATATTTCAATTAGCACCAACTCTTCTATACCTATCATTCCCCCGTGAGGCTCTCGTTACCTTTGTGTTCTCATGTCTGTCCTCTGTTTACATCTATCCACCCCATCATCCCCCTTCCCAGCATCCCCCAATGTATCCCTCCATCCATGGAATATTTGTTAAGGTCTTGGGGAATATAGTGCTGGACGAAACAGTCTGTGCTCCACTGGTGTCACATCAGGACAGGATGCGTGCAAAACCTACCTCTGTCCCTGGTGCCAGGCAGAAGGCCTGGCTTATAGTAGATGCCTGGTGAGCCCCAATGGATGAACAAAATAAAGCATATAAGTTGTACAGCTGACAAGGGAGAACACCCTACACAGGCCCCTGCAATGGCCAAATCAAAGGGACCAGATGTAAACTCAGAATATCAAGATCCAACGTGCACTTGCATGTTTCTCATAGCACTATTCACAACAGCAAAGATTTGGGATCAATCTGTCCATCTATAGATGATTGGGTAAGAAAATATGATATATTTGTATATAATATAAATATATATATTAATTATATAACATTACATTGCTATATTAACATTAACATATTACTATATGTCAGTGATACATATTAGTGATTAACACATACAGTGATATGAATATTATTCAGCCATAAAAAACAATGAAATCATTTTCTTTTGCAGCATTTTCTTTTCCATGGATGGAAATGGAGGCCGTTATCTTATCTTATTTTATTTTATTTTTTTTTGAGTTGGAGTCTCACTCTGTCACCCAGACTGGAGT